ATTTTTCCTACCTTTGACTGTGAGATGTTCTTTTTTTGATTCATTGCAGTTTACTAACAAATATGCAACATGTAAACAAGGCGCTAAGAGAAATTTGTGATCGCTTTCAATGCAGAAGTTTAGAACAGGATAGAGAGCGTTTCAAATTTCAGACATCGCTACCCTTAAGTCCCTCTTATCAGTGGAGCTGGATAGCTACGCCTCTATAACAAGAGATGATGAGCAGCTATTTGAAGTAAGCATGGTTTTTTTTTGGTCGACAGACTGCAAATGTGAAAATTTAGTAAGTACTATATTCAAAAAAGTATCTTTAGACGCCACCTGGCACTGTTTGTGAAGGATGGAAGGAAGCAAAAATTCCAATGAACGTCAGTGATCCATTCAGTGCTGTTGTGGAATACGTTGACGACAAGAAGACTCAATCTGAATCTATGGTAGGGTTTCGTGTATTTCTTGCTTTACATTCTTCACAGATTTTTGGTTGGTGGTGTCTTATCATGAGTTCATACCAAAGTAATGTTGTTGTTCAGCTCTATTACTCACCTGCTGAGAACACGGTAATCATCAGTGGAGCTAAGCGAGGTGATATAGTACCATTTTTGAACGAAAAAGGCGTGCCATCAGAAGCTTCTTTGGTAATTCACGATTTCAGCAAAGGTAAGTAACTTACTCGAATCTGATCTTGCTTTAACAGTGCTTTTTAAACGATAGGAGCATTGTCAGGCTATGAATATCTTCTGGATTCTTCCCGCTGTATACGTCTTTCACCCTTGCCCAACAATACTGCCGATGTAATTTCATCTGCCGAGGGAGTTTTGAGCATAGCTCCAATCGCAAATATGCTTATAGCGCCCGATTTGAAGTTTGGAAACTATGGTCAAGTGAGTCATTTGTCTTGATAATGTTTGTTTTCGTTGATTGAATGTAAAAGGGTTTAGCTTACCTCAAGTAATGGACGAATGCTGGATGTCTATCGAGCCGTTGATAGCAAGACAACCGACATTGTAGAAGCTCATTTTGATGGCGAACTGCTCGAGAGCTACGCGACCTATAAGGTTAATTTTTGAAGTCTTTTCTACGTTTCTCATCTTTTATTTTACCAAATATTAACAAATACAACGATAAATGATCAGTGCTCTACTACTACTTCCCCCTTTTCCAGTTCTTTCCCTCATTTCATCATATCACATTTTTTGAAGACGCAGGCTTTGAAGAATTACTCTAACATTAATTTGATTTTTACTAGTCTTTTAAGCTTGTCAATGAAAGTCCAGTACTGTCATCGCACATGCGATTCACTCGAGGTCCATCTGATATAGCACCTACATTCACAGAAAGAATTCGAAGCTGTTTCACGCAGACAGCTGCCTCCTTCAACGAGAACAACACATTTATTTTTGATGTGAAATCAAGTGAGTTATACGTTGAATGAGATTGGTAGTAATATTAATCGTGCGGAGGACACTTTTTTTCAGAATCTGTGAAAGATGTTCACAACATAGGAGTTGAGACGGTTTCGATTGCACTTGGTAACGCTTTGGCACAAATTGCTCCTATAAATCCTTTCAGAATCCGTGTTTTCTATGTGAGTCTAGAAATATTGGATGTATCATTTGGACTTGTAAGAAGATTTATTATGCCTCTTAGGACACGAATGCTGAGCGGTCACTGCGAGTGTTCTTCTCTATCGACGAAAAAAGTAATATAGTGCCCAGTGTTGTGCCGAAATACAACTATACGGTAAGGTCTCATTAATCATCTAAAGATTTAATTATTTCCGTAGATTGCTGGAGTTCGATCTCTTAGTTAATAGGGTGCTCCCTAAATCCTACTGGCGTATCCCGCTTCGCGGCGCATACGTTAACACAAATAGTGCACTAGATAATGAGAATTCGGCAGAGCTTCGGCTGATTTTTACCACTGCTGTCGGATTGAACCCATATACGCTCTTATACTGACAAATAGGCTTATTATTTGCTCATTCAGGCAGAAGTATCTTCTGCCACTCTGATCGAGAAACTGAACGCTACAATTGTTCAAGGAGACTGGAAATTCCCTGTTCCTACCGTCGACAAGAAGCAAGAGGTTCTATATTGCTTTAACGTTTTGGCTACCTCAAACGATTTTTTTT